GTTCCAAGAATGCTGCAAGTTGTTTGGCATCCGAAAGACCAGGACAACGCCACTTCACCCACAGTTTGATGGGATGGTAGAAAAGTACATTTAGATACTGGGACAGAATTGGCAAAGTTTTGTAATAGTCGCCAAGATGACTGGGATGTCTTACTCCCTCCATTGTTGATGGCCTGTAGAACAGCAGAGCATGAAGCCACTGGACACACTCCAGCAAAGTTGATGTTTGGTCGGGAACTTCGGTTGCCAGTAGATCCGTTAACAGGACGCCCACCTTATGAAGAGTTGCCTGAGAATGTGTCAGAGTGTGAAAGTGTTATCGGAAAGGATGGATGATATCCACCATCAAGTGCATTCAAACTTGAAAACGTCTGCTGATTCGATGAAGTTAACTTATGATAAGAGATCTACTGAAGTCAGCTTTGTATCCGGAGACAAGGTGTGGTTGTATAATCCCAGGAAGGTCAAAGGGAAGTCTCTTAAGTTGTCTTCTCCATGGGAAGGCCCATATGACATAGTGGATCGTCTCTCAGACGTGACTTTCCGATTCAAATGTAGTCGGCGAGGTAAGCCAAAAGTGGTGCATGCCAACAGGCTTTGGCGTTATCACGGTCCAGGACATTTCAGTTGGGATGAAGTGGACAACAGAACAAATGACGCTGCTGAAGGCGTGCCACCTGAAGAAGCCACCGTCGAAGAAGAAACTCTACTCAGTTTTGAGAAAGGAAACGGTGAAGCTCTTGATGAAGTTATTACTAACTGATGTGACTGTTATCGACGATAGGACATTTCCTGATGAAGCAGATGAACCCCACATGAAGCAGAAGCCAACGAGACGGAGACCGGTACGGAAGAAGATACGTCCCGTAAAATTAAGAGACTTTGTTGAATTGTAATTTTGTGTTTGTAATTCTGTACATTTAATTAAGTTATTGTTAATTGTTATTGGTTTAATGTAAGTGGCTCTTGTTTGGGACGAACAATACTAAGGAGGGGCAGTGTTGCGTAACTAGTATCACGCCACTTTTTTCTCGAACCTTCGTGAATTGTCGGGAGATTACTAGATTGGGGGTAGGCTGGTATATATAAGATGGTCACAACAAGACGGGACAATGTGTAGGTAATGAGTAATTGAACTACAGTCAGAGAGTGTGTAATTGATTATTGTCGAGCACGAGCACGTGAGACGTTCAAGCATTTGTTATACAGCGACTGTTGAAATTAAGTGTATCGGTAAAGTTGTATTCAGAAAGAATAAACCAGTTTTATTTAAGAAAGGACTTGTGTCGCTAAAGTTTCGTCGGAACGAATTTACAGAAAATTAATTAACGAATGAACGGAGATGTAACAGTAGTAAAGGGCAAGGTCAGAAAGAGGAAAAAATTCAGGAAGACAACAAAGATAGAAGTCATATATAACATCAGACTAAGTCACCAGAGAGGAAAGGAACACCACTGAAGGCATCTGGGTAACAAAATGGAGCCAGACAAGTAATAATTGCATTAAAAGAAGGAAGTGGTACAGTAAAGAAGAACGTAACCTGACCTAACAAGTCCCAACAGCAGAAGAACAAAGTACAGAGGGATAAGACAAAAAATGTAGAGGCCAAACAGAGAATGGAATGAATGTTTACAGAAGCATTAAGAAGTGCCTCAGATAAAAACTGGTGTTAAGAAAGGTAGAGAGAAAAATATTCGAATATTTAAGACTCAACTTAGAAAATGCTTCATCTTTTACTTCTTCCTGGAGGGCTTAATCTCCAAGTTGGCCAGATAGATACTAGTGACAGAGAACTGGGAAAAGGAAAGAAAGAAATTCTACAAATCAGGACAAAAGGAGTCACAAACATGAGAGAGAGAAGGTATTTGGGAATGAGAATGGAGCTATTAGATACAGAAAACACTATAAAACCTAATAAAACAAAGAGAAATGACAAGATAAACCCAATAATCATGGGTAAGAAAGTGAGAAAGCTTAAACTAATAAAGAAAGCTATGGAAAGGAACATACTGTTACGAAAGCAGTAGTCACGTGACGCTGGTAACACATCATGATATTCTAGAAGGATCAGGGAACATCACGAATAATCCAGTATGTGCTAGGCGCCCTCTATTCTTGTATATAAGTGCGCTGGATAACGTGAGACGAATTAATCAGAATTGAATTGCAGACAGACAGAGATAAAGATGGACAATTGAGTCAAGCGTGGTAGTGACTGTAAGTAAGTGCATGAATCATTGTGAATTATAGCATGTGTTTAAAGTAATTGTGGAAATTAAGTGTATTACAAATTTGAATTGAAAAAGAATAAACTAGTTTTATTTAAGAAAGGACTTGTATCACTAAAATTTCATCCGAAAGAAATTATACAGGAAATTAACTAATGACCACAGACGTAACAATACCTAAGAAGGAAATTCAGAAAGAGATTGAAAGGTTAAGAATATTTCACAAATGGTAAAAAACTACCCAAAGCAAATCAAGTGAAGGTCTTAATCTCATAGATCATTCCTGACTGAGGATAGAAAAATTCAACCAATGAGATGGGAGTGGGAGGCACATTAAGCATGTGGTAATCCACAACTTGTTGAACAGTGGCTCTAACAATCTTGACAGGTAATGAGCCTCCAAAAGCCACAGCAGAAATAAGGCCTAAGTAGAAACAATGTCCCACAATCATTCTAAAAGTTAAATATCCATACGTTTCCTAATATACCATTATATACCTACCCTAGAAAACAGTTTACAATTTAAAGCAAGAATAATGAAGTTAATACAATGAAACTATCCACCATTTACACTCAAGTTTCTGTTTAAACAACTATTTCCATAAAAGGACTACCAGCAACCTTGTTTTCAAGAAGTATACTATAACTTAGCACAAGTCTTCCTATACAGTGGAAAAGTAAACCAAAGAAACCCTTATTACTAATGAATATCAACAACACTGCCAGCTCCTTTTAATTATAAATCATTTCATTTGTTTCTAAGGTTCTTATTTGAATATTTTAGACTCAACTTAGAAAATGCTTCATCTATTATTTAGATTTATTCTATAATAACTGATAATGTTCCAACAACTTAACGTTGTTTTTTACTGATCTTCCAAAACGTAATGACTGCTGAAAATGGATTACATATAATCTAAAATTTACAAAATAAAATGTTTGTTTGTATTAGGTGTAGAAAAATCTTTTATATGCAAAATAATATATTACATTGTTGCATGAATAAAAATGCTTACTGTCATTAGCCGTTTGTATTCATCCAACCTCTCTTTAGAGTTAGCTATGAACAAGCCACCATTATTAATCCAGCCAGGATGCACACCTGTTTCTTTCTCCAGCACATCATTTAAGAGATGACGAGTATGATTTAAAATTTGAATGTCTGTATCATTGGGACGAAGTCTCCACACTAATCCTAAAATGTACATAATGAAAGGTTTATAAAATATATTTGAAAAATCAGTAAAATGAAACAATGTTTCAAAATATTAAGAAATACTTGCATCAATACCGAAATTCTCATTACAAACTGAATCAAGTACTCAATGTTTCACTTATGATTATCAGAGTAGTCAGTGATTATACCAGTTATTAATAAGTTTACCAAGTGATAATTTCCTTTATAACTGGCCAGGCTTAGCTAGATAGAAAATTATCTCCCATTTTATATCCACTATATTTGCTTTTACATTTTAATTTAAGCTAGAAATAACATGCAATCATTATCAAAATAATGTGTAATTTTATTATATACACCTTGCTGGCCTATTTTATGGTGTTCTGGCATTTAATGTACGAGTTATGAGCTGGATAGTAACTGAAGCTTCTGATGTCCTAATACTTTCAGCTAATTATGGCACATAAGATTAAGCGTTTTATAAAAATGCATACTCATAATAGCAGTTAATATGAAATTCCAAAAAAATTAGAATAAATAAATGTTGGCAAAATAAATCTAACATTCTGATTTACTGAAATAGAAATTAATATATACTAACAGACATTATTTTTGAAAGATAAAGGTTGAATATCTCAGAGTATAGTTTCTAGTTTCAAAAGATATGATAAACAAGTACATTTCATAATTTTGAGACAGTTTCTGTTATTTTGAAACATTTTAAATCAACTTTTTTGTATTTGTCAGGGTTTTAAATATATGTGTGGGCTGAGGATTCTTCTACAGTAGGTGTATGTGACTTGTTGGTGATAAATTTGAACAATAAACAGATATCACACAATCCACTTGTTTTGAAATAACATTCAAAACAATTTAAACGTACATGTATATACAAACATTCCTTACACTATGGATATAACAGTTGTATCTAAAACTCTAAATAGTTCTTTTTTTTCTTGTCAAAAGTTTACTTAGGCTGATTCAATTACTTTAGAATCCAATTGATAAAACAGACTATTTTTCTCTGCTCTTATCACATTAGTATCAGTGAATATTTCATTTATGTTACCCCATGGGTTACCACAGTTATATCTCAAACCTTAAATAATTGTCTCCTTTCTTCAAAGTCCACACAGATGGGTTCAATTACTTTAGAACACCCTTTGACAAAACAAATTATTCTCCTTATCTCTGTTAAACTGTGAAACTCACTTTAAAATATCAGCCATTAAGGCTAATCACTCACATGCCAGCTAACTTTCTTTTTTTCTAGCTTTTCTCTATTTTTACCTTACTTCACTTGGCTTGTGCTTGTTTGGTCGCCGCTATATATATATATATCACTGAGGCCTCTGAAATTTTCTGTAAAGTGCATGAATGGCACTGATTTAACAATATTAACAATACATAGTTGAGTAATGTGATATCAACAATATTAGTAAAGCCTCAACAATGAATTGCAAACACAACTATGACCTTTACCAAGTTACATAATCAAACTTTTCATAATTGTAACAATATTTTTTTTCACTATTTACATTTCTTAGTTCATATAGTAAGTCTTCTCATATAGTCTACATCAACATTTACAGTCCCTTTGTCTGTCTCTCCTTACATAGGGCCTCCAACAGGGCTTCAACTTGACAGGATCCCTTGTCTTCATCTTGATCTTGTGTTGTCTTGGGTCTGTCTTTGCTGATCTATCTGTATACTGGCCCCATAGATCTTGTCCCTCTTTCGTCTTCCTATTCTTCAATTATGTTAATGTCCTTGTATGACCCATCTCCACCTGATGGTGTTAGGCCTAGTAGGTCTTTATCTTCTATAACAAAGTCACTGTCTTCATATTCTTCTATGACAGCTACACATATCATGTCAAACTGTTCCTCAATAACTGCAGTCATAAGGTCCTCTTCCCTCTTGAACTATCCCTTCAACAGTTTGGCATGGTAGACATTGGTCTTCCCATCCAAACACATCTTAGACTAACTTATGTTGATAACTTCCTGTACTTCAAACGGTCCTTTCCACTTCCAAATAAGTTTGTTGTTTGCTGTGGATAACGGAACTAAAACCTTTTGTCCGAACTCAAAATCTCGACCCTTGGCCTTCTTGTTATACAAATGCTTCTGACTGTCTGTAATGGGTTTGGCTTCCCCAGTAGAACTGCTTTGACAGGTCTGGTTCAATACTCTTTTCTTGCAGAGAAAAGTCTTTCTTCTGCTTCCTTGAAACTACATTTGGGATGTCAGTTTGAGACTAAGAGGTTTGACATACTGCTCACTCTTCTTCCCTTGAGCTTTTGTGGTGACAGCAGATGCCACATCAGTCTTTTTCTTCTCTATTTCCTCTAAATTCCTATTACCCAGTATGTTTCCAATTACCAAGTTGTATATTGATGTCTTGATGCACACAGCTTCAAGGTCTCCTACATAATATGGAGTATCCACCTTTATTTTTACTATAAGAAACTTTCTCACTGTCCCATCAATTAGCACACACAGGTGTACTTTGCCCATCATATACTAGACTGGTTCTCACTCCTGCACCCAGTGTCTTGTAGAACCATCACTTTCTTGTCCTCAACATAGCCTTCACATATTGGAATATTATGATTTGTTGGCACCTCTCGATATTTGTAAAATGCTCCGATTACTACCGGCACTGTTGATCCATTTGGTAATTTGAGCCGACCATTTGTCATGCACTGGTCTATCACGGAAATGACACTTCCTTCTTGTGGTGAATCTGACATGTTTTCTTGATTCTGTTTCTTCTGGCAGCAGCATCCATGGTGACAGTAACTTTTCTTGTTTCTTGCCAGCACTATCTTTGAAAATAGCTCCAGCTGCTTTATACTGAGATTTATGCTGCTATTCACTGGTAATGGACTTGCACTTTGCAATATGTTCCATTTTATAACAAATATAGCATCTCTTCTTCCTTCTATCAGTTAACCTCTTGTCACCTTTGGCAGACTCCTGTTCCTAGTCAGCCACTTCTAGTTTAGACTTTAACTGTACATTCTTGGACTTGCCCATTGCTGTTCTTGTATTGCTGCCATTAAATCTACTAAGCTTTAGTTTGATTTGCTGCTTTTCGTTTCTTCTTCTTCTTCTTTTTTTTTGTCCCAAAATTGGTGTCAGATGGAACAAATGACACTGCTGAAGACGTGTCACCTGAAAAAGCCACTGTCGAAGAAGAAACTCTACTTGGTTTTGAGAAGAGGAACAGTGAAGCCCTTGATGAAGTTACTACCACTGTTGTGACTGTTACCAATGATAGGACGTTTCCTGATGAAGCAGATGAACCCAATATGAAGCAGAAGCCAAAGAGACGGAGACCAGTATGGAAGAAGATACATCTCGTAAAATTAAGAGACTTTGTTGAATGTTGATTTTGTGTTTGTAAATTCTGTACATTTAATTAAGTTATTGTTAATTGTTTTAATGTAAGTGGCTATTGTTCGGGATGAACAATACTAAGAAAGGGGCAGTGTTGCGACAGCTATTCTAGTTTAGTGTTGCCCTATATATGCAAAAAAATGCATGACAAGCCTTTTATCTCCCCTCAAATGGAATTGACTGTTTCCATTGCATCTCTCATGCAAATCAGCATGTGACAACCCTTAACCAATAAGAGTGCAATATATGCTCTTGACACGTGACTCACTCCATTCAATTTTACCAAACTATCACTTCAAGTTTTGGCAGAATATGGAAGCCCCAGTTTACACTGAGAAGGAAGAGGTAGTGTGGAAGAAGGTAAGTACCTATTGGAAATACATTGTCAGTACAGGAAAATTGTAACTTCTGATATAGTACATTACATCCTCTCACGTAAATATTTAGAATCCCGCATTGAATAGGTGGAGGGATTGGTGTGAGGGAAAGAAAGTAGCATCCGAAAGACACTCCCTAAAATGAGACAGTCAGATTCTAAGATCTGATGCGGGAGACTGTACCATTTCTGAGCTAGGTATATTCTTCACCCATTGTAGAAAGAGAGGAGCATATCCAAGTGGGAGAGAACTAAGGCCAGATTGTGATCCAAACATTACAATATTTATGATACTCAATTCCAGAAAATATAAAAGTGGGTAAAATAAAAGAATGTGCTCTTGGTGTAGAGTGGCTAGGGTGCAATGGACTGTACCTGGCAAGTCAACTACATTTAAAACTCATGTCACTGGGAACCGACATCCATCTGTGGATAGGAAAGAGATTCATACCATTGGCAAGCCGACTACAATCCAAAACCCGGCCCATTGGGAACAGACATCCATTTGGGGTTAGGAAATAGGATTATTGTGCTGGCAAGTCCATTACAATCCCAAAACAAGTCATCTGGTGGGGGTAGGAAGGAGGATCATGCCCTTTTCACCTCAAGTTCATGAGACCAGAAGGAATCTAGAACCCACTGGCCCATGAATGGGGCAAATGTTAATATAAAAATTGATAGATTGATCCAGGAACCCAACATCCAGTATTGAAAAGATGTCTGCATAATGTAAACCATCTCCTTGACAGTTGAAATAGACCAGAACCACTTCAAGCACAGTACCATCTTTGGAATAATAAGCATTGAGGGATAGCAGAAGGGGAAGAATCGTAATGATCTGCAAGTACCTCACCATAACCCACAACACTAATAGAGTAACAAGAGTATAAATGAGGAGGAATATAGACATCTGTAATACATGTGTGAGGACCTGTTTTGATTGGTCCAACTCTAAGTCCAAAACCCAGCCACTGGGAACCGACATCCACGTGGGGGTATGATGAGGGATCCCAATCAAAGGAGTGGATTGCAGTTTTGACAGCTCACTCCCATATTGGTGGATATTATGGCATCTACATGAGCAGAAAATCACTGCCCTACTCTCAATTGAATTGTTTTTTAGCCATTTTGATATTTTGTTTGTATTTCATTAACCCATCCAGGAGGATGCCTCCATGGTCCACCACCCCAGTGGCTTGGAACTGGAAAGTGGTAAGGACTCCCAAACTCCTCTAGAAGAAAAAGAGGGAAAACACAGTGAAGAGTCTGGAGGAACATCAACACCTGAGACAGTGGAATGGATGACCACAAAATCCTATTCTTAAAAGCAGATCATACTGATTTATTCAATATGAGGCATGTCAGCTATCCCTTTCTGCTTTACACACGTAGTCCACGGGTGTTACAGTCCAGGATGGGCAAAGTTATGAAGCAATTCCATCACGAGGACAAACCTACATGTGATCTTGTGGAAAATCTCATCTTTGCAGTGTGTGTTGTGTGGCCATGGAATTATAATATGTAAATCAGCATGGCCTTACACTACAACAAATGTGCTACCAAAAAGGAAAGGGTACAATGTTGACACACAGACTACATACATGATTCCAAAGTCTCAGGTACATGATCGAAAACATTCCTCTGACGAAAAGGGGCCTAAGATAAGGAGGCAGTAAAGGAACTTTGGACAAGGCCATATCTCGACCCAGAAGATCCCAACAATAGAGAAACTTATGTGTAAAGTGAGAGCCAAAGACGATAAACGAACTAACGTGGAAGTAATAAAGGAGAGGCTATCTTTCGAAAAAACCCAGGGTCTCGGCAGATCGCCTCAGAAAGGAGATGGATAGTACATAAATACCATAAAAGGGAAGTAAGGGTACGACGAAGGTGTGAAAACTGGGCATGGGTTTAAATACACAGGAAAATCAGAGACCACCCTCCACACTGGTAAAATTAACCCCAACTGTCGATAGTCAAGAAACGGACAGTCAGCCTGATAGTAATTTAATGCAAACTGATCTGTAGCCCATAGAGGGCGAGGCATGCTGACACCCTCAACCAATAAGTGAAGCAACTTGCTTAGCATTAACCCTAATATCCATGGAGGGTGGGAAAACTCAATATGCAGAGGATGAACAATTGTGCAACAAAGAAGAACGGGAATAATAAGAAATCATAGAAATGCATAAAACATCACATACCTGAGAACTCGTGTCTAAAAATGCCATATTAGGCTTACCTGATTCTGCAGGTGGGACATAGGAAGACACGCAAAATCTGGTTGTGGAAAAAGCTATTACATTCTTCATCAGCCCAAACAGATTCAGCTTGTTCAGGAGGAAGTAGGGCAAGATTTTAGGAGAAGGAGGTTGAGCAATATAACGATCAATCTCACAGCAGATAATCACAAATAAATCCAACAACGGGTCTCCCCCACCTGCAGCCTGTGTAATAGTGTTAGTAAGAGGTACGATATCCACAGTAGTAACATGAACCTTACAATTCAAGGTAGAAATATATATCAAAGAAAAGTGTTTGATGTAAAAATGCAAGTGTGAGAAAAAAATAAAGAGTGTGAAATTAAGGTAAACTAAAAGACTTCTTCAATGTAAAAAAAAATGAAGAAATCCCACTTCGGAAATTAAACGATTAAAGTCACAAATGTGAAGCACATGAAGAACACCAAATGAAAAAAAAAACGTCTGAACTCAAGTACTGCCAAATGAGAAGTGATAGTTTGATAGAATTGAATAGAGGGAGTCACACATGCATCAAGAGAGTTTGTCAGACTCTTATTGGTGGAGGGTTGTCACATGATGATTTGCATGAGATATGCACTGGAATCAGTCAATTACAATTGAGGGAAGATAAAAGGCTTATGGCATGTATAACAATTGTTTTTGCACATAGAAGGCAACGAGAATAGCTATTTATGTGAGGGGAGATAATGTACTGTATTGGAATAAGTCTGTTTGAAAGTGTCAAAAATGCATTTACAGTTCACCTTCTCTCCGTAGTTGAATCATAATAACCTGAAAATATCTCTATCTGCTACATGTGACAGTCATGGAGCAGTCCCACATTCATGAGGTCAAGTGGGACACAATAAAAGTATCCCATACAAAAACGGATAATTGTTGCAATTAATCTCAGTTACAGAAAGTAACACCTAATGCTGAATTTAGCACCTGACCTCTATTAGAACTTTATACACTATAGGAGAGTGAGATACAGAGCCAGCCTTAGGGCAAGGCCAATGAGGCAACCACCTCAGGCCTCGTGCCTCAGTGGTTGACTCAGTTATAAACTTCTAGTGTCCAAACTCGAGAATCCAATCCTGAGTACTTGCCTAGGCCCTGCATCTTCCTAGGGCCAGCCCTGGTGAGATATGGGGTATTTATACCCCACAACACTTATGACTATATTGGCATATGAACTCAACTAGTTTTAACATTCCAAATTTGGACTTAAGAAAAATTTTGCAGACATGAAACATATGCTATACAAGAGTGAGTTGTTTGGTTATTTTTGAACTTAAGCACAAAGCTACACAATGGGCTATCTGTGCTCTGCCCACCACAGGTATCAAAACCCTGTTTCTAGTGTTGTAAGTCCACAGACATACCTCTGTGCCACTGGGGGGCTACAAGAGTGAGATATGTGGTACTTACATACTACAATGGAGGAAGGATCTTGCTACTTAGTGTGAACTTCTATGCAGTATAATACAACTATGGCACTAAGAGATGGACAAAAGAGGTGTTGAAGCCATCATAGTTAAGTTCATTATAAAACTATACAACACTTTTTTCTGTTTTGTAAAAATCATGCAAAAAATATTTCATTGGAAGTTTATGAAAATTGCGGTTTCTCACCTGCAGTATGCCATGTGGTTCCAGCTGTCAGTTTGTCTTTTTCTAATAATACAGCATTTGTGCAGCCTAGCTTGGTCAAGTGGTAAAGTGTGCTGCAACCTATGATACCCCCACCTAAATGAAAAAAAATGTTCCAGACAATTACATAGAACTATTAAAATACAAATTTACAGTGCACTTCATAATCATACAATGAAATATAAATCATTTCCAGCTTTAGTTTATAAAACTGATAGCGTTTCTTACTGCAATTTGTATCTAAACACTAAAAGATAGTAATACAAAAGCTAGTACTGAATGCTTTTTCAACGTAAAACTATCCCCCTAACCCTTACCTACAGGTGATTTGCTAATCATTATCCTGCCAATGGTTCTCTTGAGACCAGTAAGGTGGTCTGGTGAATAACAAATTCCTCTAAGAAACAACCAGGAAAAATAGTTGAATTTGAAATTTACATTTCAAACTTTTCTCTATCACAGATTTCCACTAAAAAAAATTTTTTTAGTAAGCAAGTAAACTTCTATGAAGATTCACCTGATAATGAAAAATTCAACTTTTGAATTCACATATCTGTCTTATCCTGCTAGTGATCCTCTTCCAGCACTTTTAGTTGTTCCTCTTTTAGCAATCATGATCCTCTAAAGGATTTTATGATTAAACTATTCCACTAATGGTGTGTGATTTCATTAGTAAACCATTTGATGCTTACTAATGATTCTCCTTTGGTAATTCAAAATCCTCTTAAAATATTTTACTATCAGATAATTCTCTACAAGTAAATTCCTTTTGCAAAATCAAAATATTCTAAGATATTTTATTTACTATTAAATCATTATGTCTCACTGGTTATCCCCTCTCTGGCAGCCTTTTTGTAACCTTTTCTTACCAGTGACTTTCTTTTGATGAGTTAAAATCCACTAACTAATTCTTACTAATGAGTAATTATTTATTAGTGGCCTCCTAATATTAAAGGTTACTTGTAATTTCAGTAATATGATAAAACCCTTGCTATTAAAAAACAAAAACTTTACATAGCCAGCATTACAGAGTGGGTGGGTGGGGATGTTTGTCAAAAAATAAAAAAGGACATTTTCTTCTACAAAAATAATTTAAGTGATTTACATGAAAGTCAACTGTTTATTATAAAGAATCAGAAGATGGTGAACCTTTTAGACTTATTAGAATAGTAGGGTGGTTGTTTGACCACCCCATGACTATGCCCCCGGGTGGAGCTTCTGTTTCCTTTTTTAAGAGATGCAGTTGTTGTCCATTAGATTTGCTAGTATGATCAACTTGCAGTTTTTGTACACTTGCAGTATACATGTCTGTGTGTCATGGGACATTATCTTGGGTTGTATGAGTATATTAAAAGGCAAACATAGTTAATATATGCAAAAATGACCATTCTGTCCCTAGAAAAAATTTTACTTCACAAGTTTCATAATTTAAAAGATGACTTGTGGTCTAGAGTGTTTTTAATTTAAACCCTTGATGACACTAAAATTCAGCAAAACATTTAATATTCAAATTAACCATTTCAAGGGGAGAAACTGTTTTTTTATGTATTTGGATTACCTGTCTTCTTCACCTCAGCCAACAGAGAGAGAGAAAAAAAAGAAAACTTGTTTCTGATGCTCCACTAAATCAATTGCAAAATGGATGACAGGAAGCTTCACCATCAAAGCTCTACTAAGCAAAACCAATTCTTGAACTTACTGTTTCCCAACTTTATCAGCCTCTGGAAAACACCATTTTCAACACTCAACAGATGGTCAAACTGTATATGAAATCAACTTTACTTCTCAATCAGCATCCCTGGAAATTTCAAGTGTGAAGATGAGGAAAAATTTCCGGCTGAAATGAATAACAAAATTAAAATGCTTGAGGATAAAATTTACCTATGTTTATTTCTGTCACAGGTGCTTGTGTACTGCATTAACAGTTATATTAGGCTTTGTGTGTTTTTATATGAAACATACCAATCACAACAACATCTGCTGATTCTGGTATAGTATTAGGTGTTGTGACATCTTTATTCTTGAGTGTCGTTTCATATGGCACCCCACTTGGTGTGTGTCCACTCGAGCAATTCCTAGTACTTGTTGACAATAACCACTCAATAAGTTTTCTGCTTTTCAGGCACTGACTAAGGACCTTTTGGGACTGAAGCAGAGTAGTCATTCTGGTATGTTATCTGAAACAAAATGAGTTACTAAAAACATGCATAATACATTTCAATCTATATTATATATTAACATCTTTTATGCTTAATGGTTAAATTCTTGAGTAATATTTTTTTAAAAACAATTTAAAAGATTTCTCAGTGCCAAGTGTGAAAAATTGAGATCTGGTTACAAGATGTGGTAACACTGAATAATAGTTAATATTGTGAAGCATTTGCAGCATTTTGAGGCATTTTATGCTTCTGTTGCATCAGTGAGGTCACCTCTTTCTAGAAATATCCTGTTCCTTCATGAATGCCCTAGCATTTACTAGATATGTGTTAGTCTTGCATATATAAGATGGTCACAACGTGACGGGACAATAGTGTAATGAGTAATTGAACTGCAGTCAGAGAGTGTGTAATTGAACTGAGTATTGTTGAAGTTGAGCACGTGAGACGTTCGTTGAGAATCATAGTGTTTGTTATAGCGCGACTGTTGAAATTAAGTGTATCGCAAAGTTATATTCTGAAAGAATAAACCAGTTTTATTTAAGAAAGGACTTGTGTCGCTAAAGTTTCATTGGAACGAAGTTATGGAAAATTAACTAATGAATGGAGACGTAACAAATTGGTGTCAGAGAGTGGGGAAAAAATGGAAACAAGAAGAGGCAAATCAAACTACAGCTTAGCAGATTTGATGGCAGTAATACAAGAACAGCAAAAGAAACAACAAGAACGAGAAAATAAACAAGAAAAGAAACAAGAAGAGAGATTACAGCAGTTGCAAGAAAACCTGCAACAGTGGCAGCTCGAACAGCAAAATAAACAAAAAGAGAGATTACAGCAGTGGCAGCTCGAACAGCAAAATAAACAAGAAGAGAGATTACAACAGCTATTGGAGGAGAAAGAAAATAAACAAGAAGAGAGATTACAACAGCTATTGGAGGAGAAAGAAAATAAACAAGAAGAGAGATTACAACTGCTATTGGAGGAGAAAGAAAATAAACAAGAAGAGAGACTACAACAGTGGCAAGAAGTACAAATGGAAAACATTAGTAAATTCAAAAGCGAATTAGATACATTAAAGGATGATTTATTGTCTTTTACACAAGGAGAACACATTAACCATCGACTTAATCAGCCCCAGACAATGGCAAGCCCCTTCCAGACCCCACAGCTAAACCCTAATGCAGACATATTCAGTCCTGTTAGAAGTCACTTCCCAGATATGAATGTCAGTAATGGGAGTGATCCAGTACGAAGGAAGCCACAGGAATACGATGGGAATACACTGTGGGAAGCATATAGAGCACAATTTGAGCTACTGGCAGAGATGAACGGATGGACAGAGGAGCAGAAAGCAGTATATCTGGCAACGAGGTTAAAGGGACAACCACTGGAAATACTTGGACAGTTGTCAGCAGACGACAGACACAACTATAGAGCACTGGTAGCGGCTCTAGAACTCAGGTACGGAACCCAAAATCAGTCAGAAGTCTACAGGGCTAGGTTTAGGACGAGAGTAAGTAGTCCAACCCTAATATGCATTGGTCTTCAATGTCAGCCAAGTATA